TTTTAGTATTTTTCCTTTAAAAGAGAACCTAATGGTTCTTTTTCTTCAGGCTGGTATATTCGGATAAATTTTAAGTAACTAATTTTGTAAGGAAAAAGTTAGTAAATGCACCAAATTTTAACTTAATTAATTTTGAGATCGGCATTTTAATTAAAAGAGCAACAGGAACTAGGTGGCTGGACTTCTTGTTTAAATTAAAATCCTCTTGATTGTTATATCGACGGCCGCGTCAGGCGTTGAGTTTATCCAAAGATTTATCTGGGCAAAGTTGAGAAGCCGCGCCATCCACATTGTCGTCTCATCTATATTGAGTTGGGCGCCCGATGTCGGCTCGGCCACTAACTATTCCTGACAGCGACCATATTCACTGCATTTTAGAATTCAATTGAGCTGACTTCGAGAGTTTTCTCTTTAATTCTCTCCGACCATCTTGTTACACCGGTAGGAGCTCGCAAACTTCTCCTTACGCCATGTACTATTGCAATAAAAACGATCTCACTGTTTTTAAATTTCCTTTAACTTCACCTAACTAAAAGTACTGTAAATAGTGTAGAAGTAAAAATAAAGCGTTCTTATAGGATCTCAGTACAAAGAACACTTAATTAAATAGCGCAGTTTATTTTTATAAAAGCGCCGTACATTGTCAGTATACTGTAATAAAACTAAACAAGTGTAGTAATATCGAATCCAGAAGAAAGTAATTGCGGTTTAATTCTGTTAATCGAGCCCATTAAATGGCGGTATCACGGCACTACCGCTGCTGCCCCTAATGGCCTTTTACCAACGCATTTACCTAACGAATGACCTAGGACGGCGAGCGTCCTGCCGCTTGGCATCAGCACGTTGCTACGATTTAAAACCCAATATACGAGTCCCGAGAGTACCTCCGCTCTACAAATACCAACCTGCTCATAACACTTTGGACGAGGAAAATGAGTCAGTCGGACAGGCCCGGACCACACGATAGGCCTCAAAAATGTTCGTATTATACCTACGTAAATGTTGAATAATATTGTCTACCATTTTATACGCCGCATGACAACTACGGATAACAGCCATCTGACAAATACATTTGTTTAAAATTAATGACGGGCAAAATATTAGTGGTATGAAACAAAGCACGCAATTAATCCATGAATGCTAGTGAAGTCACGCGATGGGCGGCTAGCGAACAATCATCTGAACGATTTATATACACACCGGTACATAAAACAACTAAACTCACTATTCACTAAAAGCTTGCGGTACAGAAAATAATTGCGCACGATCTAAAAGTGGTGGTAAGTATTATCAAACAGAATGTGTTCAGATTTTAAAATAAATCACCAACTTGTGGTTACAAAAACTTTAGTTCCACTAAATTCTGTGGTATTTGGTGGCCGCAGATATTGGTTTCTCTAAACTTGGTGGTTATGAATCAAAATGCATGGTAACAAACAATAGAATGGCATAACTTCCGTGGTTCAAAGTAAGCCTGAACATAAAGGACGAATCATCAGGAACTAAATTGACTTCAACATTCTTGAGTAACAAAACTTGGAATCAACTTTTGGGATGAAGTTTGTGTGAAAATACTTTTACGCTAATTAATATTGCAGTGGCTTAACTTTGGCGGCTTAGATCAAGCCTTAATTATGTTTTATTGAGATAAAGATACTTTAGGTTTGACTTAAGAATTCTAATTGGTGAAACCGTTTTGCTTTGTCAACTTTTCTTTATTTATTCTTTGCACGTAGAGGGAAGTACAGATAAATATTTTAACGTGTGAGAATCGCACACAATAAAGGGACGCGGCCAGTGACCTAACTCTTACAATTACCAAATAAAGTGCCCATTGATTACAATGTATTGAATAATTTTCCATTTCCTTATCAGCTTGAATGGCAAAAATGCAAGCGTAATTTTATGTATCCGTGCGCATTTTCCTTGCTTTTATGCTGGCTGACCCCAGCATAAATACTTGTGGACGCTTGTGCTACTATTAGCTCTTGGCAATTTCCTTGGCATAAGCTCTTAGTGGCGTTTACGACACCTTCAGTAACAGGTGATTAGAGTGGCTTCTTCTTGGCCGGAAGGCCGCCATAAAATTTTATGATACAAAATGAAGGTAGCGTTTGTGAATTTTTCCTCCATATGACTAATGGTTATGGTCTTCTCTATATCCAACACAAAGGTTAAATATCTGGCGGAAGGACAGGGCTAGAACCTCACGGCCTAGATAAAAGCCATTCAATTTTGGAAAAGTATTAAGAAAAACCTTCAACAGAAGTGTTGATTAACATTTTGACCTGTATGGGTACCTATATATATAGGCAGGTATAGGTATATAAAACTCGTGTATCTCAAAGAACAAACTAATTTTTTGCTCCTCTGACTAAAAAAAGTGCGCAGGTGTACTTATTTTATGATAAGTCAAATTTTTTGTTTAAATTTGATTTGATTTTTATGTAAAACTACTACCTACATAGTACAAAGTATTTTAGTATTAATATTTTCATTGCTCCAACTTGAATTGCCAGCGCACAAAAATGTAAGGCGTGCTTTGACTATCTTCAGAACTGGCATCTTTTGAAACCTTTTGACTTCGCCTTAATAACAGTAAGTAGCTCATACTTGCACATTGCATTCAAAGATTGGAAACTTATACTTACTTAACTTTTAAATAAACATTCATGTATTTGTATAAACTGCCTCTAGTATGAAAAGCCGGATTAAATACGACTGGTAAATGTAAACTTAGTTACTAACATTTTCTGTAATACCTTAACTAGCTCTGTAATATTAATATTTGCACTTCCCTGTGTTTTTATGGTTTTTTTAAGCCAAGTATTTTTTTTTAAAGAAACGTGGGGCAACGTTTCTTTACGTACAATGTTATAAAATACAAATTACGTTTCAAACATACAATGTCACATACACATGACACTCAGACCCGAAACAACAATTTGTGGATCTCACAAAGTGTTGTTCCGTGCGGGAATCGAACCCGCGACACGTTGCACGGCAGCCAGTTGCCCAGCCACCGCACCAACCGTGCAGTCAAATGTAGTAGTAAGTAGTAATGATTCTGAATTGTTTCTCGTTTGTTAGAATTTGAATAAACAGTTATCTTAATGATTTAGTTTGGAGTCAAAGCAGGATTGTAACTCTAAAGTAACTGAATAACATAGATAATATGACAAAGAGCCTCCATAGTTTGATTATTTCCTTTTTTCACAAAAATGTTTTGAGCTTTGGTCATTGTTTTGCAAATACCTATGCAAAACGGATACTATTTTAAATCTAGGCTCTCAATAATCTACATGCTTCAGGCTAGAATGTCACATCGAAATACTAGCGCAATTTTGCCAATTTTTATTCTGGCTTTATTTAAGTATTCTACTAAGGGCATTTTTTGAATAGTAGTATATCTAAAAAAAGCCCTAAAGGACGATTCTCATCGAAATTTTTCACTCTGACCGATTATTATAACCTAGTAAACATTTCTATTAAATGTAATATTAATGTGGTGAAGTTTATCCTATTTACTTAAATGCTTTTTTTAAATTTTATACTAACATTTTTGGGGATGGACGCTTACATTTTTGAGGCCCTTTTTACATCTTTGCCCCATACTAGGGCGTTTACAAACACACAATTTCATACACAAATTCGTAGTCAAAATGTCAAAATAGAATATAGTCTACTAGTTCATCAGTAGTAAAGGGCACGAACAAAGTTCTGCAACATCTCTGGCTTTACAGAGTATGTGTGCGCGAAAAATTTCTTTACATCCAGATCCAGGCGCAATCCAGAACGTAAACGTTTAGCTTTTTGATTGGTTGGTAAGGAGCAGGCCATATATAGCGTCAGATGTTTTAAATGTCTCGATCTTCTTAACGTCAAGCAAACGCAGTTGGAACGCTGGTGTAATGACTTAGTTGTAAGCTTAATCAGGAGTGAGTCGTAAGGTTTGGTGCTACCAATATTATTACAATATTATAATAACAGCTTTGTGTTTCGTGTGAGTAAGGTTACCGGAGACTCAATCCTTCCCCTCCCTCAACCCTAAATCTCCAAATCCCTAATCCCCAAAAGGTCGGCAAAGCACTCATAACTCCTCTGTTGCGGTTGTTTATGGGCAGCGCTGATTGCTTACCATCAGGTAATCTGTCTGCTCGTTTGCCGAACTATCATATACCTAAAAAAAAAATTAAACGTGGACTAGTTCAGCAGGGGCCTCGGCCTAAAGCAGAAGAACCAACGGCGATGTTTTTACTCAGCAATAGGTCTGACACTCCCTCCCGCCTCAGCCTGGGTGAAAACGTGGTCTAATTTCCTCAATCAAAAATAAATGATATGAACGTGTAACGTTTCAAACCATAAACATACTGACAAACCTTTTTACCTTCATTCATTTTTTTTGACATTATTCTTTATATTTGTATTTTTATTGTTAACTCAATAAGTATGCTACTTGACGTTAAAATAATGTGTGCGCTTTCATGCAAGTTTCATAGAAAATTATCGGTTTTTGACTTATCTATTGATAAAAGCATTGAATATGACTAGATGGCAACAACCGCATTATTTGTATTGTAAGTGATTATTCTGTTGGTGTGCTAATTATAAATAAATTAATAAATGATTAACCTGACACAAAAAAATAATAATCTGATCGCACAATACCTTAAAAATAATAAATGTGTCGGTTCTGTGTAGGTACGTCGCTGGTAGGTCGTAATTAACCTTGGGGTAAGTAAATAGCTACCCCGTCATTACCGACAAATGTTTCGACTTACAAAAATAAGTTAGTAGGTATTATTGTTAATGTTGATTAGTAAATCATGGCTTAATGTTACTCGTATGTTTATTAAGACTCAACCAGTCCAAGGTTTATCAAAAATTATTGCCTTTAAACACATAATACTTTGTACTTCTGTAAGTGAATAAAATCACCTATCCATTCATTACATAAAAATAGAACAAGTTATCGCAATAAAAATTAATCGAAATAAAAACTAACGGTATAAATGGTTGTCTCTGATATTACTCGCTATTTCTGGTTCCCAGCGGTCGCCGTTTGTCAGCAGCTTTTCTTTATTATAAAACAGCTCTTCACGCGTGAACGTGCTGTATTCAAAGTTGGGTCCTTCCACTATAGCGTCGACGGGGCACGCTTCCTGGCAGTAGCCGCAGAAGATGCACTTATTCAGGTCGATGTCGTACCGCACGGCGCGCCGGGACCCGTCCTCACGCTGCTCGGACTCGATAGTGATCGCCTGTGCCGGACACAAAGCTTCACATAACTTGCAGGCGATACAACGCTCTTCACCCGAAGGATACCTCCGCAGAGCATGCTCTCCCCTGAACCGAGGAGACAACGGACCCTTCTCGAATGGATAGTTTATTGTAGCTGGCTCACAAAATATATGTGACAAAGTTACAGCAAAACCTGAAAATCATATTAAAACGCTAACGTCAATAACTACAGAAGTGAAAAAAATTAAAGAATTTTGTAAAAGCAGTTCTGTTTCACAGCAAATCCTACTTGTAGTCGGCAAATAAGCAAAATTAAATTGTCGACAACAAGGAAAAAAGATAAAGAAATGCTTTGGCCGCCAGCGGATTGCTTTATGAACGAGCTTACACACGTCAAGAGTCAGTTTACTACTTCACAGAGTATAATATTCTCGTTCAAAGCACTAATTTACAGCATTTTAATGTATAAGGCAAAGGGAGAATTTGTTCTAAGATGGGTATTCCTAATGTGGTCTTTTTGAATGGACTACATCACGTAGTAATTTAGAACTTAAACAAACTTTGTAAAACAGGTCTCAGAATATCTACTTTACATTTTTTTCTAAACAGATTCAATTCAAATGTCAATTTTGGTCAATAGCAAAATAAAGGATGTCAAAGTAAAAAAAAAGTTTTTTTGCCTGGCTTCTAACCAATTTTTCAATTTTATTGTTGGTACAAATAAATCCGACACGTAACATCTGACTTTTGGGAAGGGTATATTTGGCATAAAAATACTGGGATATGTATCGCGTGTTACTTTAAGCTACGTACTCCTAACAAACAGTTGTCTTGTTTATTTAGAGTTAGGATGAATACATAAGGTACCTCGAATTAGCTCTGTCCAGAACAGCGTTTGCGATGCTCGGTCGACGAAGTCCCTAAATCCTGTTTTTGGAGGAGTGTCATTGATGTATATGAATTTTACGTCATATTTGCTCCTTGGGCAGCAGTAAAAGGGTGGATAGACTGTTGGGGATGGTGGGCACGATGGTAATATCGGTGGTGGTATCGGCGGTGGGCACGGCGGCCACGGAGGCAAGCACTCTGAATTCTGCTGTCCGCGAACATGAACAGTTATCACACCGCCAACGTAAGGTTGGGTAATTCGCCCGCCAGCTCGCTTCACTAAAAACATTTAAAATATTTATTACAATATCAGTTCTTTAAACAATGACGCTGACGTTTTGAATCAAGATTTGATTGTCAATTCATTTCACAATTTGCCAAACCTTTGTTGGTGTCATAGACAGTATGACGGCGTTGACCCAATAAACCTTCCTAATCGACTTTAAAAAAGGAGGAAGAGGTTTTAACTTTAAATATAAATATACACGTAAAACGAGAACCATGTAAGAACCTACAAAGTACATTAAACATATAAATAAAAAATCCCAATAGTTATGAGACAGGTGACATTTAACCAAAATTGGACGGTTTGGCTTACTGAATATGCCTTATTACGGTTTAATAATATCGGATCATAGAATTGAGAGATAACATTTGAATAGAATATTCCGGTAACCAAATTGACGAAGTAGGTTATAAGAGCAGGAGCAAATTCAGAGGATTGCATTATGCAATGGCACGCCAAGTGATTCAGGCATTCGAAAGTTAATGCCAGCCAATCCGTATGGACCAGTGGCCCAGTGTCTCAAGTACTTGGAGTACAATCGTTTGACTGCTCACGACATCAATACGCATTCTTGAGCCGCATTCAATATAATGGTTCAAGAAAATTCAGTCTTTAAACTGGTGTAAGTAAGATTCAATGCAAATTCAATTCTAATTCAATCTGGGCTTTTATATTTTAGGGATTTTATACACATAGTATGCCTATACCTAGCCGAGGCGGATATCATTTTTTTTAATAAAAGGTGGAGTCATGTTAATTTTTTGGCGACGCACGTAGCATAGACATAAACTTCAACAAATGGCGTCTCAAGTTCTATATCACGAAAGGGAAGTTTGCGCGTAAATAAGCACTGATAAAAAATCGAAACTTACACCAGACACGGGTGGTGGGGTAAGCGCAATGAGGTACCGCGACCTCGGCCTAAAACAGGAGAAGGAACGGGGGGTTTTTAGTCAGTAAGAGTCTGACACTCTCTCTCGCATTACACTGAGCGGAAGAAGTCATTTGATGATTTTTTTCTGACAAAAAACCCTCTAGACGCAATGCCTGTCTGATCAGAGGGTCCTCCCTTTTCTGGAGGATGAGGAACTTTACCTTGTTCTCTCATACCTCCAAAATGCTCTACGTCCATGACGTCAACGAATAGCTACAAACAGTCTTGTTCAACTAATGTAAACAACGTTTAGCTTCCTGATTGCTATATGTTTCTGAATATAAACTATTGTTGGCCGCAAGCAACTTGAATACTCCATTGCGGTTAGTTGTTACGTGTTTGAGTCACATATTGGGTCGCCACGGTGTATTCGCTGTCCTCAAAGCATGTTTGTTTGCCCATTATCGCAGAGAGAATAGAGAAGTTAGATCAAAGTGCTCGCTTATCGGAATCTAAATTATGTAATGTTTTAGCTCTGTCATATATACATATGTCTGTAGTGTCATATATTTGTAGTAAATAGTTAAGATCTTGTATTTTATTTGAAATTCTATAAATATTTTTCCATTTTCCATACCATTTTTATCCTTAAGTAACTTAATAGTTTTCAAAAAATCCATCCTACTATATTTCTATACATTGAAAAAGCTTGTATCAAAAGAATGAAAAATAATTTTAGTTTACGTTTTTCTATCAACCGACAGATAGTTTCGGAAACTGGCAACGCACAAAAAAAAGGAACGAAGCGATTTTTGGGCAAAAGTCTTTGTTTTTGTTTGTTGTTGCCATCGATGGATTGGATTCAGTTTTGGAATAAGGTTTATAGGTAAGTGAAATATTGCTTTTATCAACTCGTCACTGCGGACAGATCTCGTGTATTGTCCTCATTTTCACGATGGTCAAATGTGGGAAAGCCATGTTTTAGTGCAAGACTCGACCGAAGTAATATGACCATATAGAATACCGGCGTGAACCAAAACCTTCGTTCGTTCGTTCTCGCCTCCTTTGTGCGTGTTTTAAATTCTATCTCAGAGTTAGAAACACATTATCTTTACACAAACATTTTCAGTTTAAATTAATTGTTAATTTTATCGCTATTGTAATTAGTTTTGTACCTTTTTGTTTACAAACAAAAACATAGTAAATAAAATAGAGTATTTACAATACCATGTACCCTTGTGATACTGCAAATGAATATAGTTAAGTATATTTGATCTAAAATTATTGTCCAATTTACTGTCACTATTCAGGTAGTCGCACTCTATTCCTACCTACATGTGTTACACAAAGGGATAGCTACTAAGAAGCATACTTTTGTAAACAAATTTGGAATAAACTTCATGTTAAGTGTGTGTAACTTAAGTATTTCACGGATAATTCACATAATAATGTAAATATTTAACGACAATACGTACTATGTACACTACATAATAATATGTACTTTCTATGATTATTTAGACACCACTGACCTACGGTGAAGGAAAATATCGTGAGGAAACCTGGACTTACAATTTCTAATTGTAAGTTTAAAACCGCCGACCCGCATTGAACAAGCGCGGTGATTAATGCTCAAATCTTCTCCGTGTGAGAAGAGGCTTTTGCTCAGCAGTAAGCCCTTATAGGCTACAATGGTGATGACATAATTAAGTAAAAAAAAACGTATGCTTAGTAATAAACTACCGACTTTTAAAATGAACATCATCTTTAAGTACGTATTTTTTTCATCCTACAGAAAGAAATCCGCGAGAAATCGAGTACGAAACGATAGTAAAGTATATTTTTTATACAGACGTAGCTATACGCATGAGATAACACAATCCCTCTTTCACCGAGCAATGATAAAAGAAAGCGATGGTTTTAAAACTCCTCAATGTTACCCTTGTTCCACATAAGAAAGAAAAATTCTAATAGATAATACTTTTACTTGGCTTTCGATACAAGTGCCCAAGTCAGGGCACTCAGGGCTTTATGGAGCTGTATGTAAAATGATTGACATGTTTGTTCCATGCATACCAAATTTTATTTCTCTCTAACTGCCCGCTCTAGCTTTATGGGTGATATTTGTCTGAACTTTTTGTGTGTTCGTTGTGTTTTAGCTATCATATCCATTCACTTATTCATAGCTTTATTTTTAATCTACAAAGGCCTATACACACCTTCGGACTGAAATGCAATCAAACGACAAAACTTTATTCCCATCTTAGTGTAGTAACTACCTAATTTAAAATTACGACGCGCTCAAAGGAAATTGTAGTTACATTCTAAATGCATAAGACTCAAATATCAATAAAACTCAACCTTAACAGTTTCAATAACGTCAGGTTTATCACAATGTGCGTATTAGCGCGCAAACGAGATTATTAGGATCGCGACACTATTTCTGTTATCGAAGAAAGTTTAATCACGTGTTCACGTCGTCGCCGTGTCGTTAGTTGGTCGTTATGCTAATAGTCGCGAGCCTGTGACGCGCCTGCTCGTCACCGCTTCATCGGATTACAGATATTAAACTAGTACAGCTACTATATACAATGTAACTCGATGACGGCGACATCACCCGGCTTTGTCCACTTAACTTATTCATTAAATTAGCTGTTTTTTGGATGCTCTTTGTAGCATATTCAAAAATTCTTTAGGTATATAATAGGCCTTTTTGCGTTTTTAAACTACGATCATGCTGTACTTGGTAACGTAAATTTCAAATAATGAGTCAAATCTATCGTTATCTATATTGTACTTTATATATATGTACATAAAAATCAATGCTACTTTTCGTTGTTAATTATAACTCAACAACGCCTTTACCGATTTGGCTAATTTTGGTCTTGAATTATTCGTGGATGTCCAGAAAATGTTTTTAGCTAGAGATTTAAAACAAAAAAACTTCAATAATGATGATGGTTTTAAGTAAATGTTCGTTTAATATAAAAATTACTTAGCTTATTGCCTTGCAACGGAGCAAAAAAAAATCAACCAAAATCCATTCATTTTATTGCAGTCATAGAATGGTACGCTAATAGCTGAAACCAATAAAACCGTTGAAATTCTAACACTCTCGGTGGCACACCTGATCCCTATTCATTCACAAAAAAGCGCTGAAAGGTATTTAACTCACCATTTTTTAATTAAAATTCCATTATTCATAAAGTACGGATTGACATGGAACAGATGCCACTCTATTCGATTTTGAATATTGAAATGAATTCGTAATGCACGAGTCAACACTTAGAATGATAGCCAATATCGACTAAAATATTAGCCAATATTTCCTAATGGAAAGTATATAGGTACATATTTAGCAACGTCACGTTAATATAAAGCCGGAGGGAACGATCGAGTTTCAATTTATACCAACATCGGTGACATAATAATGTAAAATATTAAAATTATATTAAATAATGCGCATTACATTTTACATCTGCCTAATCTAACGCAATACAAAGGTCGTATCAATTATTCAGAGGTCTGGGAAAGGATTTACGCATGTACAATGCTTTTGAAGTTATTCTTAGGCTCACAGCCCATCATACTAAATATGAGCACTTAGAATAAACGTTATAAAATGTTATTTGGTCTATGTCAGCCTTCATATGATTTAAAGAAGACAACGAAGTAACGTTGCACTCACGGCTTACAGCTAATTATATTTAGTGAGTACGTACCTACATTCGTGTAAGCTAAATGCCTATTTTCAATCGTAATTTACGAGTAAACTGTAAAAGGATCTGCCTATACTTGGGAAGCGTACGTTGAGTAGTCTGTTGACACACAATTTATCTTTTTCTTCATTCGAAGGTCAGAATTCAATCTGGACGACTAAAAGACGTTGCCAAGATAAAGAATCTGTGACATCCATTAAATTCCCATACAACTGCGCTATAGCGAGAACATTTTTATACCACTGACAGCCAGTATATGCCTAATAATATAGATATTTGAAACAGGGAACAGGTGTTATTGTTACAGGTGATTTCACTCTGTTATACTAACAAATATATTTTGTCAAAAGACTACAAATAATTAACATATAGCGTGATGGCCAACATGGCGTGTGCTAGTTGATGAACGATCTGAAAATAACATAACATCATGCTTGTGTTTCCTCGATGTCGTAGGTAGAGGTGTACCACTTATCGCCAGTTCTGTGGTTACAGCCACGCAAGAGACAAATTCATTTCCTCGTATCAAGCTACTTCGAACGCTGTGCTACTTCTGAGAATTGTATTTAAAATATGGAAATATTAAATAGGTTCCAAATTAAAGTGACATATCAAAAATATATTATTATTAAATAAACATTATCTTTTGATGAAATATGTTTCAAACCAAATATAAAAGTATTCTTTGCTTAAATTTGGTACAAATATTTGATTATGTTACGATACTAATGGACCTCATATTTTACATCCAGTATCGGCGTGCAAAAAATCAACATGTATTATAATAATGTGCGTGCTGCTTACCTACAAATTTGAAACTGTATTCCATTTTCAAAACAAATTAGTTCTCTGATTTCAAAACCGCATCCATCACGTACTAATGAGGCGATATTAGATAACGTTACACATTGATATTATTGCTCAATTTTCAAAATAGTAAATCGTCCCGCATTAGTTTGGCCGCCGCAAGCGACGTTCCCGCGACCGTCAGTGGTGCCAACCAGTGCCAAAATGTCCCACAACTTTCACGATATCACATTACTCTAACTGTTTGCGAGAGGCCATGTTGTTTCTCTAATTACACTAATACCTGAATGCTATAAAATGTTTAACGCTAACTACTTCATTATCAACCATCTGTGTACACAAACTTGCGTTTTTACTTCCTACTTATTAATGCTGAATAATTTATCGATACCCCCATAACTTTGGGCCATTAACAGAGGTATGAACTGCTCTGCCAAGACTTTACAACATAAGTATTAAAGTAATATTTTAACTGCTGCAGAATATCATGATCCTCTTGAAATAATACTTGAAACGTTTTAATAGCTTTCAAAAATTTTGAAGTATTTTGCCGCTATATTCATGTTTCCTTATGAAGAGGTTCTTGTATGTATACTGTGCAGGGTATTTTGCGAAGCCTACCTATAGCTAAGTCCTCGCAACACATGATACGGTGAGGGGTGCATTTGAAGAGCATCCACGAGTGACAATACTTAAGTAGGAACGTCCGGCTCACCCCAAGCTGGTAGCCTCTTC